CTCCCGCGTGTTTACATCAGGCTATGTAAACACGGAAACCATTTCACATTTCTTCAACATAATTCAGTCCTATGTAGCTTCAGTTCAAGACGAGAAGTTGTTTGTTGTCTTAAGTTTACATCGCTCCTTGTGTTTGATTTTTGTCTCACATTTTTGGGTGCAAAAATTTTAGCCTAAATTTTTAAGATCTCTTCCATCCTCAAAACGATTTGGATCACTGAGGAGGGAATGAAGGAAGCAAGCCAAGAAGCTTTCAAATGCAAGACTTACAGGTTGAAATGAAGTCGACGTTTGCAACGGGTTTAAATTTCTCGTTCAGGTTCGTTTCTCAAGTCTAAACATGTTCTGATAGGTTTAATTTCGTCCCCTCTCAAACAATATTTCTTCTCGTTTCGTGTCATTGTGGTATTTTATTTATGGTTTTTGTGAGGAGCTCTCAACTTTGTCCTCTAACTTTTTTCTGCTGAGGAAACGTTTTTCTCTGAGTGATTTATCCATTAGGAAAATTAATTGAAGACAGCGCCATTGAAAAAAAAAATTAGACCTCGGTACCTGCGATCTTCATTGACCGTATTAAAATCGCTCACAATTCCAGTGATAAATCCATGCGACTGACACGTGAATGTACAATTGGCGGAACCTGTCCTTTCGTTCGGACGCCAGACCAGACGTAGTCTTCGCTTGCGCGGTAAATAGCAGGACCAAGGCTACAGCGGAAATGGTGAATGCGATCCTTCTGACATTTTCGGAAAACACTAATCCACCGAGCATTGAATAGCCTGGTATTAGGATATAAGGTAAGTTAGCAACAGGTCCCTTTTCAGAGAGTTCAAGTATAACTTTATTCAAGGGGCAAACAAAGAGTAAAGGCAAATTCAACAGCTTTTGATGAGTTTTAGAACAAGTTAAAGAGCAATTACTCAACTTCAAGTTGCCATTTCTGTCATTCAAAGTAATAAAAATGATAGGGAAATTTTCAATTTAGTTGAAAAATGTTTCAACCGGCAGCCACTTCCAGGCAGCCAAAGCTACATAGCATGAAAATCAATTTCGTTTCCTTTTTTTCTCTCTACATCCTCTTCACATTAATAAAACTACATCAGTGGTTTCTGAGTCTAAAATTTTACAATTCAACAAACTTCTATGGTCACATAATTAACTTTTTTTTTTTTAATTTTTACCTCAGCTAGTTCTGAAGTGTTCTCAGACTTATTCACATAATTCAGCACATGTGACCAGTT